TTTGATACTTGATTGTCGTTGATGTTTGTTGAAAATCGTTTTCTATAATAGAATTCTGCAAAAGTAAAGTGTAATGAATCCGCTTATAGTATATTTAATAGCTTACTTTATTTAAATCCCTCTAGATGCTAATTATTTTGAGAAAACAGTTAATGTCCTACTAAGTATGTATATGTATTATTTGTGTACTCGAATGGAATTTATCCTCTATATTTAATGAATTCATTTGTTTGCCTCATACAACAAATGCGCACAAGCATTCATAGCACTTAATTTTGCACTCTAACTCACTTGGCCAAATACAGATGTATGTATATAAAATCAACGAATGCCAACACAAATCAGCAGTTAAAAAATATTGTCGCAAATAAACAAACACAAAATGTGAAATCTCATTAAATTCGCATCAGAAGGCGTCATAAACGCAAGAAAACGTCAAATAAAACTGGTAATTAATTAAAATGATTGCCAAAAAGGCGTGAGACAACTTTGATTTTACACTGGCACACAAAGGCACAAATATCTACTGCAAAGCAAGAGTTCGAAAAAATTTACGCCCGAGTCGGCAGAAAATATGAAAAATCTGAGCTACAGTGAATACTAACAAACAAGAGAAAAAAACATGCTCGTTATGGTAGACAATTGGCACTGAGCAGAGTAAAGTGGCATTAAAAGCCAGTCAGAGGTAATTAGTAAAAAAAAAAGGAATAATTAGGTTAATCAAAACCATTAGTTTGTGAAAAAGCTTTTTTTAAACTCAAATTCAAGAATACTCGATTTTAAAGAAAATGGGCCTCAACGAAGGGTCTACCTAGAACACCTAGGTTTTTATGCGGCTTTTCATTAAATAATGCAGATAATGTGTTTTAAAGACTTTGCCACTTCAATATGCAGTCACAGCATCCTTGTGTGTAAGGTGTGTAATTAATATATCGTCCCCCGAAAGGCAAAAAGGCGTAAAAAACATCATCATTGAAATAGAAAAAGTCATGACCAATCATTTTTTCATAAAACGATATTGGGAGCTGTAATTTGATGAAATCCATTATATCAATCAAAGCGACAATTTTGTATTTTAAGTTTCGACTGTTTGCATTGCAGCGACGATCTTTGTTACGTCTTTTTGCATTTCAGTTGACGATATCTCTAGGGCCCCTCGCCGAAACTCAGGGAGTCATCATCTATGGATTCCAGAAGGTAGCCGTGAAGGTCTACCAGACCGACTCCAAAGGTGATGGCGAGCCTGTTCCGGTGGCGCTGGCGGCGGGTGAAACGCGTGAAGCGGAGCAAGTCCTCGTAAGTATGGAGGTAGAATCCTTCATGTCGGACAGTGGCAGCACTACAGTGTTGGTCCGCTGTTCGTCAGGGCAGAGAAGGTGCTGGAGAAGATTTTGGAGGATGAATATTCTTCAGATTAATCTTCAGCATTCTAAGGCGACGTCCACCAACCTTTTAATCCACCATAAGCAAGGTGAATTCAATGTAGTCCTGATCCAGGAGCCGTAGCTGAGCAGCTGCAATAAGGTTTCCAGTATCGGGACGAAAGACTACAAAGTGGTAGTGCAGCGGGATGCAGATAGACTTCAATCCTGTGTGCTCATAATGTTTTTATTTTACCTATTTTCAGCGATTGGGACATTGTGCCAGTGAGTCTGGAGGGTGCAACCGGAGAACTTTGGTTGATCTCCGTTTATATGGCGCATGCGGACGAGGTGAAGACACCTCCGTTGTTACTAAGAAATGCGGGTATGACGCAAATTGCCACCAGCCACCATGGCCGATGAGCTGGAACCCTCGAGGAATTACTTGCGGATAGGGAAGGTCTGGGGGCTACCCTGACCTCGTGTGGTCTGTTTCTGGACAGATGGGCGTGTAGTCAGCTCAGCGAGAACTGGCGCAAGACCCTGGAATGGAAGGTGACAAAATCCTTCTGACCACGGATAGACCGGTGGCGGTCTGGGGAGCTCTTGCTTACTTGTCACTGCGTGATAAGATTTTGTTCATTATTTATGCACAGAAATTTCAAAGCCTGTAACCAAATATATTAGTAACCTGAAAAAGTGTGAGAAGACAAAACAAATGGTAATGGTGTTGCAAAATCATAATAAAATTTGTTTTTCCCAGCTGGCCGAAAGTCACTGTTAAGTCTCAAATGTAAATGGTAACCAGTTAACAACGGTGGCTAAGAAAAGTCAAACCGTACATATTTGTACATAGACAAGTACAGGAATCATTCCGCTTTTATCCGGTTTTGCGGGAAATGAAGTAATTACATACCAACTACTTTGACTTAACTGACTACAAAATGTTTTAATAGTTAACGGAAGTAAGCAATAGCAAACAACACATCTATCTACTCGCAAGTGCTGCCGCAGAAGCTAATTGTTTTATAAAGGCTGATCGGAAAGCTCATAAACTAATTATCGCGATTAGTTAGCAATTGTTACACTTAGGTGGAACCCACTACAAATGTTGCGAATATGTAATGCGACCAAAATGTGGGCACTAAATGTGAATAATCACACTGAACAACTGAAGTATGCTAGTGGCAATATGTAGCAAGCACTGCGCCAAATCTAAATAGAACCCACACATTACACGAAAATATTAACTGCTACACAATATTTTACAATTAACAATGCACGCTTTTTTCTATGCTTTATGTTTTTCGGTTTAATTTTTCGCTTAGACTTTTATATAGATACATAAGCGCATACCAAATGCTATTCAACGGGTACTCATTATCCAAAAAATTTATTCAAATAAATACAAAATCACAAAGATCAAAAAGCAGAAAACAGCGTAAGTTTTAATGCGCTCACTCACTTTATGGCGCAATAATTGGCATTTATTGCAGCCAGATTGAGTTGATTAAAAATTAATTTGTACGAATTTCTCACGTGCCACTCAACGCGATTGTCGAGCGTTTATACACTTAATTGGATTTTTTTACTGAATAATAATACTTAATTTAAACCTGATTGCGGTTGTTTAAAGATGCAGACAACATTTCGTATATACAAATTTGTTTTGATGGGATTTGAATTAATAATGCAAAATTTAAAATTAACTATTAATGAAGGATTTTTAGAATTTGGCATTAATACTACCGTGAGAGAATTACATCATCCCGTTGAATAATGCGCGACAAAGCGCTAAAATGTTATTTATTAGATAAAATTTACACTTTATCAAGAAAACTCATTTATGAAGTTGGCGAACAATTGGAGTGTTCCGAGGCTGGCTCAAAACGGATACTTCTCCACGCAAACTCCTCCAAAGGGCGAATAGGAGAATGGCAGTCTCTGGAGTGGAGTTCCAATAAGCATCTTCACGTACGGACCGAAGCTGTAGGGGAGAGTTGTAGGAACTCTCAATAAATCTTATGTTCAGACTGCCGGATAGCCGCTATAAAAAAGGCAGCCGATTGGCTACGCACAAATGTTTTTCCAGCTGTGAGGGCTAATATCTACTCTGATAGCCAAGCGGCAATCAGGGCGCTGGGATCGCTAATAGCACGATCGAAACTAGTCGGACAATGCCTGACCTTTCTGTCAACCGGATTCGCAATACTTCTAAATTCAACTAATTTGGATCCCAGGACACAGTGCTATCACTAAAAATTCCAGGGCTATTGAATTGGCTAGGCAGCGCACCCTCGAGGCCATCACCTCGGGAAGGGAGGGCATAGAAATTCCGTTGGCTAGCCTACAGCCTACAAGTATTGACGGATTTTCACTTCTCTTTTGATATCTGGTAGTTAAATTTTTAAGTAGGTCCTATTTTTTAAGTTTTATTTATTTATATTTCATTGTTCAGAAATTTTGAAGAATAATAATAAAAACCATGATGAAAAAAATTTTAGGGTTCCCCTAAAATGAAACAAAAATTCTAGAAAAATTGTAACAGCCACTTTCACGAAAGCAATTTAAGGGAAAAATGATTTTATTTTTTGAATCGTGTATGCAAATTGACAGAAAATAAGAAACCATTTTCCATTTAAATTGCTGGTGGAATCGGCTATAAATGTTAAAAAAAAAATTGCTGATTGCCAGCAAAAACGGTGGTAAACTTATCACTGAGAAGTACGGCAGTTATCTATCCCTCCCTTAATCCCTAAATTCAGAGTTAGACATGGCAATGATAACGAAGGCGAAATCCCTGTGGGAAAAGTTGTAGGGCTACTGGCAACTAGCGCTCTATCAGAAATATCACGAATCTGTCAAGCTAACCACAACAACCGACAAGCTTCATCAGATTGGTGCGGATCTGAGCCGACGATTCAGTTGGCACTTACATTTTCATACGTTGGTGAGCGCTTCGCCATAAAAGACGTGCACCACAAAACGATGGCAACCGATTTTTTTGATCCGAATGGAAATATGCGGGTGTGGAGGACATTTGCGATGAAACTACGCGCAATACAGCGAACGCAACGATGTAAAGTCTGTATTAACGAATGGCGGGTGACGTGAACTTGCTACCAATATCGTGCGATTTTAGAGCGCAGCTTTTCTGAAGTCACAGCAATATGCCGAAATTGAGTGATCTTCAGCCGAATATTTGCGACAGAGTCATTAAAAATTGGACCACACTTATATGTGCCACCGCACAGTGGGGAAAAAAAGGTGGCTGTGGACAAATGAATTTTGTGAGCCCAAATATGAATCGATTTAAAGTTTATTTTTTTTTTTTTAATATAAGACAATTAAATTTCGCCTCGATCTATCCGTGGCGATTTTTTTAAATGGCTCCAGTTTTTTATTTATTGATGTTGGAAAATTAAAGAAAAAAATGTTCACGCTTGAATGCTTCCGCCTTTTTGGAAAATACTTGAAATTCATTTCAAATGTCTGCAACTCTTTAAAAAAATATTCCTAGACACTTTTACATAGGATACGTTTAATTAAAAAATGTATTTCATTCGTTATCTATACTAATATATATTTTGAAATCCATTTTTTCGCTTTTTCCTAATCGAAAAACAGCTGTTACCGATATTATTGAAACTTTGCACATCGACTCTAGACCCTGAAAGGATGATAATAGAAGAAAAACAATTTCGATATATCAAAGGGGCGTGGCACCTCCCATACAAACCGAAGCTTTCACACAATATATCTCTGGAAGTATTCATCGTAGAGTGCTGCAACTTAGCACACAGATATACAATATCAACGCCAAACTCACGGAAAAAATGGGAGTTATTGAAAAAGGGGGCGTGGCACTGAATTTCTCACATTAAAATGTGTATGTGGTGTGAGAAACTCAGTTTATATGGGAGGTGCCACGCCCCCCTTTTCAATAACTCCCATTTTTTTCCATGAGTTTGGCGTTGCTATTATATATCTCTATACAAAATTGCAATACTTCCAGAGATATGTTGTGTGAAAACTTTAGTTTGTATCGGAGGTGCCACGCCCCTTGATATATCGAAATTATCCTTTTTCTATTATCATCCTTTGAGGGTCTAGAGTCGATATCCAAAATTTCAAAAATATCTGTACAGCTGTTCTTCAGTTTTTCGATTAGAAAAAAATGGCTTTAAAAGTATATATCAGTACAGATGGCAAATTAAAAATATTTTTTAATTAAATGTTTCCTATGGAAGAACTTTTATGAATAGTTTTTTTTTTTAAATAATTTCAGGCATTTGAAATTAGTTTCAAGTATTTTCCAAAAAAGTGGAGGCATTCAAACGCGAACATTTTTTTCTTCATTTTTAAACATAAATAAATAAAAAACTAAAGCTTTTATAAAACATCGCTATGGATAGATCGACGCGAAATTTAATTATCTTTTATTTAAAAAAAAAAGAGAAACTTGAAATCGGTTCATATTTGCCGTCTTATAGTTGATTTGTCCACAGCAACCTTTTTCGCCCCACTAAGCACTGTTAGAACTCATGACGGATATTTAAACGACGTTATATTTGTTATACTTTATACTTTTGTTTTGTTTGGTAGCCAGAGTCCATTAAATGGTACCTTTCTAGGAAAAACCCACTTAGCTACGTCTACTTAAATAACACATGTCCACATGTCCCATCTTACAAGAGAATACAAAAAGTATTTTTCTTCTATTTTCTTTTCAAAATTAGGTCTCTGTTGCTGCACAGCACCATTAGCAATACTTCCGAGTCAACTGAGTTAAGTATGCATAAATTTTTGCATATTCACATTTAACCTATGAATGAATGAATAAGTATGTGCGTGGGGGGTTTGGGTCTCTCATTCAACGTCAAAGCTACTCAACATATGTATGTAAGCATCCTTTCTCCTTACGCCAACTGCTTTCATACAGTTCCCGGATATTACACTTTGTTTTTATTTTATTTATTTTTAGCTACTGAGCAGCTGTACGAGAATTCCATATTTTTTCTTTGTTTTAAAAAATGTTAATATGTTGTTATTCTTAACGCCATCAATGCTTCCATTTATTTTTTTTACAGTTTTTTTTTTGTTTGTTTTTTAGCCCAGCCTGACTGGCTGTTCTTAAGTTGCAGCTTTGTGCAACACTTCATTCATTCATTCATTCTCGCTCTATGGTCTGCGTTTAGTCTCATCCAGTGTTTTCCATTTTGCGAGTACTATGAGTGGCCATTAAAAGTTGTGTACAACACTCAGACATACTATGTACAATAGGGTGGTTCAAAAAAATGTATGTGGAAAAAGTAAAGTCGNCCCCCCCCCCCCCCCCCCCCCCAGGATTGTTGTATACCGAAAAAAAATATACCCCTATTTTTTATTTTGAAATCAAAAAATATTTAGGGAGTGCTCAAAGCGCTCAAAGTTTTCATGTATTTTATATGGCAGAAAAACAACTTTTCGTAGAAATGGTATAAAATTCTTGATCAATGATGAAATCAATATATTTCGATCGTAAAACTCTGGTTCTCTTCAGGAGACTTCCAATAAAAACACCCAATTGCTTATTTAAGCATTTTAAAGAGCGCTGCATTTTCTGAGCGCTTTGAGCAATCCCTAAATATTTCTTGATTTCAAAATAAAAAATAGGGGTTTATTTATTTCGGTATAGAACAATCGTAGCGGGTGGCGGCATTAAGATTTCGACTTTATTGTTTTTGGACCACTCTAATGTACATATATATACATATGTATGTACATACTACGAGTATAAGAATTTGTTATTATGTATGCGTATGCTTAAAAAGCGTCTGTTCATAAGAACCTCGTGTAACAAGTTTTATTTTCCCATTTTTCCTGATTTCTTTCAATGTTTGTTTGCATGTGTCACTTTGCGTTGTAGCCCCTTTTAATTGCAGCTATAAAAATTCAAATAATTTTTTTTTTTATGCTATCGCTAGCATGCATATTTATGCATGTACATATGTATGTAGGTACATAAGTTTATCTATATATATTTTTTAATTTGCATATACATACATTTTTTTAGTAATGTAAATATATGTTTTTTGTGCATTTCTTTGCAAGCGTATTTTGTCTGGCAACTTGTGTTGACCCCAATTTTGCTGCTGGAATTTTACGCAAATGCTAGCTTATTTTGCGTTGCCATATGCGAGAAACCGTATTGTATTTTTTTTTTTTGGTACTATATTTTTTCGAGGTTTTTTGTTTGCAAAAGCATTCATGAAATGGGGTAGGTAAAATGTGTAGATGCAAATTACTGAAAAGCAAGTGGGACGGAAAATCACCTTGCAAAGCATAGCTTATGTATATTTTCATTAAATTATATTCGAATGATTTTCGGCAGAGTTTCTGGAGTAAGGAGAAAAATTAACAAATACAGTGTGCCCTAGACCACCAGTCCAGCCCTTCTAAAGATGGAGGCAAATGTTTTTATTGGAAAACGCAAAAACATGAACATCAAGTCGGGGATGCTCTATCTTTTGGCCATATCACCGACACCCGGTTTCCACCGCAAGTGTGTTAAAATGATCGGATGTATATTTTTTAAATGGCATAAATATGCATTTACCGTATCTGTACAAACTTCTTTTTAGTGACTTTGGCTTTGGTAGGTACTTGCGCTAATGGAGGCCCACACAAACAAAGGGATGCCATTGACTTACCCATTCGTGTAAAATCAAATAAAATTCATGAAGCTTAAAGCCAGATACATATGTAAAACTACCTATGTATGTATCCGCTATGTATGTATGCATATTCTTAAACACATAAATATGTATGTATACATTAAGTTGGTCAAAAAAAAATATTAAAGTCGGAAATTTATTCCTCTCACCCACTAGGATTGTTCTAAACATAGCGAAAATTACAACCCTGTTTTTTATTTTGAAATCAAAAAATATTTAGAGGTCTCTCAAATCGTTGAAAAATTTTCATGTATTTTATGTGAAGAAAAAACTATTTTTCATTAAAATGTAATCTTGAACATCATTTTTTTTTTAGCAAAAAACTTTGCTTCTCTTCAATTGTTAATTTACCCTTTTTTTTAAGTGACTTTTTGTATAGGTCCCTAGATTAAAAAATGGTAAAAGAAACGATTGGGTATAGTTACTGAAAGTCTCCTAAAGAGAAACGGGGCTTTTAGATAAAAAAAATTGATTTTTAGGAATTCTATAACGTTTTAACAAAAAAAAAATTTTGTGCATATAAAACACCTGCAAAACATGAGCGCTTTGAGCGAAATAAAAACACAGGGGCATACTTTATTCAATATAGTATAGTCCTAGGGGATGGAAGCATTAAAATTTGGGATTTACATTTTTTCACATGCATTTATGGACCACTCTAATGTACATGCATAAAAGCATATGTCGCTCGAGATATGAAATTTCATTAGAGGGAACGACAAAATGTATTAAACACTTTAAAAACGTGACATATTGACAAATAAACGAAAGAGCAGAGCAACGTTAATTCGACAAGTAGTTTCAGTCATTTGCTTGGTTATTCTAGTAGTTCAGGCGCTTCACTAAATTTTCAGAAAAACAATCTAATCTAATAGCACAGGGCAACAAAAATGAAAACAAATCATGATGCGGCAAATGTTAAAGCTGTTTTCGATAGAAATAATAAATTTTCTCCCTTGAAATCGCCTTCGAAATTTGCTCATACAATTTTCTTGACAAATTTCCAAACATCGACAAAGTAACTAATGATTTCAGCCGACTCAATCCAAACAATGTTTCATAGAAATAATAGCAGCGTTTCCTTTTTGAACTCGCTCAACCAATCAACTGTCAATTCTCAATTAATTAATTTTATTTGTGAACCCCAGTGATAAATTATCCCTAAAAAAGATCAAGTTATGTATTTCTACCACAAACAAAAAACATCATCCTAAAATATACTTATATATTTTTAATATGTACTTACTTAGAAGAATGCCATTAAGAAGGATGATGTGATACATACCTGCAAAAGGAGAAAACCAAAATTTAGTAAAATTTTAATTTGAAAATAAATAAAATCGCAAGCTAACATACATATATGAATATATAACTCAAAGGGACGTAATGACGCAGGAACAAGAAAATGCACCAACAAATGAAATGACAATATTACTACCTACTATTGAGCACTTAGATATTATTGCCTACATAGCAAATTGTTTGCGTGTGCGAAGTAATGACTCACAGATCCAATTTTTCATTTCTATATAAACAGAACTCTTAGACAGAATTAATTTTTAGTTAACCTGGATTCCACAATAAATCACTTATCAAGCCAAATTAAGCGTTCGTGTTTTACGTGTAGACAGCTTAGCTCTCGGTATAGGCAAAATCTGTGTTGGCCACCTAAAAAATTGTTAACTAGTTCGGGGCTACTTCAAGACCTTTTCGGGCATAGTACTAGATTATAACCATAACGGGCCTAGTTCGGGATTATTTCAGGTCCATTTCGGAACCTCTCCAGGACTATTTCGACTATTTTAGACTAGTTTTGGCCCATTTTCTGGACCTTTTGAGGACAATTTCAGGACAGGCTCAGGCTAATACCCGATTATTTCAGGATCATTTCGGGACTACATCGGTATCGTGTTGCGACGAGTAAGGAGCTATTTGAGGGCCGTTTTAAGACTTATTCGAGATGCTTTCAGGACAAGTTTGCAGTTTTTTCGGATCCCCTTAAAAATACTTCATTCAATATACTTTTGAGACTAGTGCTTGATCATTTCGCAGTTTTTGAATTATTCGCGAAGTTGTTATGAAAAAAATCATGTACTGATACAATGCACATGACAAAATGAATTAAATAAAATTTAGTAAGCTCGAGGGCCAGCAAATAAAGAATAATCCAAAATTTAGTTTGATTATCTGTTATTGCCTGGATCAACCGAGTTCCTGAAGATGGCCTCCGATTGAGGTCGAAATATCGACAATAAAAATTAATAAAACTAAAACTTGGAGTTTTATTCAGGGACCAAACACAAGAGTTATTGATGAAAGCTATCCTTGAAAAGCTCACTATGAAGGAAATGTTCCACAAATAAGTGACACCAACCAATCGATTTTTTTTCACCGAGAATAAAATCTGAAAACAAATTTTTATACCCGAGCGCACTTGTGCACAAGGGTATTATAACTTTGTTCACATAACGGTTGTTTGTAACAGGCAAAACGAATCGAGATAGATATAGACAAATGTATACATAAATGATCAG